TAGATTTCTTGAAAGTCCCTTTTATTTATTACTACTACTATTACTATACTAGCGTTTTGCGAGTTCGGGCACTAATATGTTTGTTTCAGGAAGCATGCCAGTGTTTCACGGATTCACTGTCTTCCAAAGATCCGAAAATGCGCTCGACTTCGCTATCGGGCCGCGAATTTCTCTTGATTGGATGTACAAGGCAGAAAATGCTTCAGGTATTCAGTGCCTTGAATGCATACAACGAAACAATGGTCTCAAAGCTCTGGATTTGAAATTCATTGATCGATATCATACCAGCCGAAATGTTTGCGCAGGTTCCAGTTTCTTCTCAAAAATTAATTTTATCTTGAAAATGTTACATGTAAAACAACATTCGTAGATGTCGTTTTTATATTCGTGTATGTATGATATCTTTGTGTGTCCCTGAATGTCTCGTTTCCTTCATAGAGCACAAGTATCATTTGGATGCCGTCGTGAATTTTTTGGTTTTTTTCACATGCATGAAAATGTGGGGTAAGTTTGCCTCTATGAAGTTCGTGTACAGCATCAGAAAGCTTGGAAAATTAGAAATTTGGCTCAAATTTGGAGACATCTTTTCACCGCACCGTTCTTCCAATTTGTTTGCTGTCCTGGTTTCTTCTTCTACTTTCGGTTTCTTGCTTTTAGGACAAATTGGCACTATGCAGTTTGCGCCTTCCTAAGCAGAATTTCACATTTCATAAAGTTGAGTCGAACTTCCCGCTGGGGAAAGGAAGAAGCATTCCCACTCCATAATAAACAAGATTATGCGGAACAAGAACCGAGTTTTTACAACGAGATACAATTATATGTCTGAAGCTAGATTTTTTGAAAATGTGAAATATAACTAGTTCTCAGCCATTGAGAGGGTTAATAGAGCAGATGCCCAGCAAAACTTGTTTAACATTTGTTCGGGTTATCAGGCATGCTGGTTTGTAGAAGAAGCTGGACAACGCTGTGGATAAAAAGGTTTGAGATGGATGATACTTCATTTAGGATCAGCGAGTTAGATTAATTCAAAAGAACCGAGGTGCAGTTAACTTTTTACTTCTCATAATTTCGATAATTTTATTTGTTGCGTGGAAAAATTTGCCTTCCGCGAAATTTGCCCCAAAAACTTCGTCGAAGTGTGGGAGTCTTTAAGTAACCTCATGGTTGCCGTGATGCAACGGAACTATGGCTTTTTCTGACTTTCAGATGCATCTACGAATCCTCTCAATAGAAAAATTATCAAAAGTAATTAAATAAGAAACTAACGAATACGAACGAACACAAACAGAAAATAGATCAGCACACGTACTCCAACACAGAGGCGTATCCGGGACGGGCACCTGAAGGGGAAGGGGGTGCGGGGGGGGGGGCCCTCTCACCCCGGAACTATGCAAAAACTAGGAATAGAGTTGTAACATTGTTGCTGCTGCTTAGAGTTACTTTAGTTCTATTTGTAAAAAAAACCCGGATTTTAGGGGGAAAGGCTCTTCGCCCTTTTTCTCCCCCCCGGATCCGCCTACGCTCCACCAGAATACCAACAACGCAGCATTGGCGCCTTGGCTGCATTTCTTAGGACCATCAGAAGGTAGGATACAGAGGAAAACCCGCAAAATAAGGAGCCCCTACCCCCAACCCGCAAAAACCCACCAGCACCTGCAACAGGAACCGAGAAGCGTAGTGTGTGGCTTCGAGCTGCACTAGCAGCGAAGCTCCTGGCACGACGGTGTTCCCCGCGCATTTTTAATCTTCTTGAACAGCGGCGCCAAGATTGTTCGCAATTAGGGGGCTGGGGTGGTGTCGAAAGTGGTCGTCCTGAAGAACTTTTCCCTCTTTTGAATGCCCCAATACATAATGCTTCCTTTCACTGCAGTTGAGTAATGCTGTGGACGATAATTGCATGCTGTTGCACCTGCGCTTGTTGTGGCTGTGCAGTTTTTGCTTGACATTCCTACTCGAATTTGAAACTCTCTCTCTCTCTCTGTGTTTACAGCTAAGGGATGAAACAGGCAGACTGCAAACTGACCTGACCTTTTTTAGTGTACGTGTAAATTCTTAAATACCCTGTTTGTCAGGTGAGCACTGTTATAGGGTAGGATTTTCGTGTGTGTTGAGTGTTGCGGTCGAAGCACTTGGCTAGGGCTTTGTTTTTTTTATGCGTTTTGTGCTGTGTTAACAGCAGTACAAAACGCATATTGTCACGGGGTTGTGTGTGTGTGTGTGTGTGTGTGTCCGCAGCAACTT